GCATGATCATTTTCATTTTGGAAGAAAAATTGCTTATTTACGGTCCCATTCAATGTGAAATGGGCTTCATCGGACATGATAATTTTGTTCCAAAATTGCTCGTCTTCTTCGGCCATTTCGATGACTCTTTGGGCCCATTCCAATCGACGAGGTTTGTCCGCATGCAACATTCTTTGCGTCAATTAAATTTTGTACGGGAACACATGCAAATCAATGCGAATAATTCGTTGTAAAGTGGACCGAGCCATGCCCGACTGCTGAGAACGGCGTTTTGGGGATGTTCTTAGGGACCTCTCAACACTGGCTCGTACTGCAGCGATATTCTCGGCCGATCGCCTTGGTCGACTTTTATATGACCTCTGAAAGAGCCTTACCAGTCGAAAATTTTTCGTATAAACGCTTAATGCTCTTCTTAGAAGGCGCACTTCTCACATTTTTTAACGTTTTAAAAGCACGTTGAGTTTTCACAATTGACTTCTTCTGTTGAATGTAAATTTCAACTATTTCAGAGCGCTCGCGTTGTAAAAATCTGCTTGGACTGACGCTTCAAATGCGGTATGTCATTAAGCGATGTGACATCTCTGTCAAAAGTTATGGCGTTGCCAGATGGGTCCGTCGAATATGGGCAACCCTGTATATGCCTTTTGTGCTGGGACAACTCCATCCATTCTCACAACATGTCCTAGCCAACGTAGTCGCTGCAGCTCAATACGTCTAACAATGCCGATGTCCGAGAATAGCTGGTACAGCTCATGGTTCATTCGACGGTGATATTCACCGTCAACGCAGATCGGCCCATAGCTCTTTCGGAGAATTTTCCTTTCAAACACCCCAAGAGCTGCCTTATCTGCCTGTGTAAGTACCCCTGCTTCAAATCCATATAATATCACGGTATCAGCGTATCAGTATCAGCGTCTTGTAGAGTGTGAGTTTGGTTTGGCGGGAGGTGGCATTGCATTTGAGTTGTTTGCTCAGACCATAGTAGCACCTGTTGGCCATCACAATCCTTCTCCGAATTTCAAAACTGATGTCATTCGTTTTATTTATGGCGGTACCAAGGTATATCATATCTTTAACTACCTCGAAGCTGTAGTTCTCAAGTTCCACAGTTTGTCCGAGTCTACTGGACGTCTTGCGCGTTGATACCATCAGCTTGGTCTTCTCGGCGTTTACTGCAAGACCCACTTTGACAGACTCCTTCTCAATTTGCCCAAAGGTGGCTGTTACCGCTCGAAATGTTCCACCCATTATATCGATGTCATCGGCGTAGGCGAATAACATGTGTTGTTTGGTGTACAGAGTGCCATTTCTGTTCACCTTTGCGTCTCGTATGACCTTTTCCAGCAGGATGTTAAAAACTATCACACGACAAACTGTCACCTTGTCTGAATCCTCGTTCGGTATTGAAGGGTTCCGATAGGTCCTTTCCGACTTTAACTGCTGACCTTGTGCCACTTAATGTTAACCTGCATAGCCGTATTAATTTTGCAGAAATGCTAAACGTAGACATTGCTTTAAACTCCTCTGAACGGATAGGGCTGTCGATTGCGGCTTTATAGTCGACAAATAGGTGGTATGTGTCGATGTATTTTTCGTGGGTCTCTTACAGGATTTGGCGCAGAATGAAAATCTGGTCAATGGTGGATTTGCCAGGTCTGAAGCCGCATTGGCATGGTCCAATAATGTCATTGACCATTGGCTTCAATCGTTCACACAGCACACTGGATAGCATTTTATATGCGATGGGAAGAAGGTTAATTCCTCTATAGTGGTACATATCGTCTTGTCTCCTTTTTTGTGCATGGGACACAGGATGCTGAGGTTCCAATCATTGGGCATGGATTCCTCTAGCCAAATTGTACTAATCAGCTGGTGCATGCTCCTGACCAGCATCTGACCACCAGTCTTGAATAGTTCGGATGGTACCCCTTAGCTCCTGCTGCTTTATTGTTCTTGAGCCAATTAATTGCTTTTATGACCTCATCTTGGATACGTAGAATACACTCCATACCAGTATCTCTTATTGGTTCTGGGATATTTTCTCCACCGCCACTATTTGATGGTAATTCTGGGGTATCTTCTTCACCGCCACTATTTGATGGCAATTCTTTACCATTGTGCTCCTATACTATTATCGGGACAAGAAGTGCTTTCGTCAAGCAGGTGGATTAGTTGAGGGGAGAAGGCATTGACTACCTGTTGTGTTTGTTTCTAGGTGCTCGTAAAATGCGTCTTTGGTCTGCTCAGCTTTGTCTTTGGTCGGAGCATGGGCGCAAATGAGACTGATGTAGAAGAACTTCGTTTTTATACGGATTATAGCAATCGCTAATCTACTGGAGTGAATCTGGAGACGAGGACTTTTTCCCTGTTAACCATAAATCCGAAGCCAAATTCATGTCTCGTTTCGTGGCAGCTATATTACAGTGCGTAAACGTATGGTTTACTTATGCATGTCCCTTTCCATCGCATTTCCTGTAAGGCAACAATATCAGCTTTGTACTTTTTGAGTACATCCGCCAAGGCGAGAACTGTGCCTGTTCTGTACAAGTGCAGATTCGGTCCATTATACGTTTGCGGAGGTTGTCAACATTAGTTGGGTTTGGTTTTCTTTTTCTTTGCTTTTTCATAGCAGGAGGGGTTTTCCGAGTGTGGGCAACTAACCCGACGCATCAACCTATTTCTTTTATAGTTCTTATGGGTGAACACGCGGCACATATCAGCTCACTGTTTCAACGGGTGTTGAAAGTAGCTACTACAGGTGACACCGCGGAGTTGAGATGAAAGAGGTACCAATATAAGCTTGGAATTTGCCGTGTAAAGCCAATCAAAGCCATTGACATTTTGGTTCCCAGACAGTGTTTTCTTTAACTTCCTTTAATCCTCAAGGCTAGTAGGCCAGAAAAATCTCCCATACTTGTTGACCACACGGCCATAAGTAAATTTATATACTTCAATTAGACCCTTCATCCCACAGCTTCACATCTTAAACGACCACCTTATTTTCTTCTAGTTGCGCCATACACATCAATATTGCCTTCATCCGATACAATATGGCAGTACTAAAAATTTGGCCTCCAACAATAACAGCAATAAAATGAAATGTACCAACAACAACAACAAAAAAGTAAATGGGCAACAAAAAAAGGAATTGAAGACTAATTGTTGTGGATGATGCTGCTGGAGGGTTTTCGGCATAACAAATGCTTGCCATTGACTGATATCTCTAAAAAAAATGGGGCAGTAACAAAAATTACAACAATGTCAGAAAATATGGTGGTAGCCCATAAACAGCAAATTTCTGTAGAAATTAACGATGTGCTGGATAATTAAAGTTAAGACGGGGACATGAAGAAATACAACAACAAGAATTACTGTGTTAATATCTTAATTTGGACACGACACATAAATTCGAATGTTCGGGGTATTTTCCTCTTGAAAAAAGTAATGGATATAAGAAAAAGAATAAGAAAAAGAACCGAACTTTTAGTTTATTGCGATTTTACTTTTTTGTTGGCTGTTAATTATTTGGATTATCTCAATTACATGTGTAAATATGTAAGTACACCCATTACATACTTACAATTACATTGGTAAATATGTATTACAACTTGAGTTGACCTATTAACTTTGTCGTCGATTTTTGGGTCATTAAATTTCTTAAAAAAATCCTCACCTATGACCCTGATGGTGGCTCATTAAATTTCTTTAAAAAATCCACGCCTATGGTTTCGATGGTGGCTCAATAATTTTCTTTAAAAAAATCCACGCCTATGGTCTTTATGGTGGCTCATTAAATATCTTTAAAAAATCCACGCCTATGGCCTTGATGATGGTTCATTAAATTTCTTTAAAAAAAATCCACGCCTACGGCCTTGATGATAGCTCATTAAATTTCTTAACAAAAAATCCACGCCTATGGCCTTGATGATGGCTCATTAAATTTCTTTAAAAAAATCCACGCCTATGGCCTTGATGATGGCTCATTAAATTTCTTTCAAAAAATCCACGCCTATGGCCTTGATGATGGCTCATTAAATTTCTTTAAAAAAATCCACGCCTATGGCCTTGATGATGGCTCATTAAATTTCTTTAATAAAATCCACGCCTATGGCCTTGTTGATGGCTCATTAAATTTCATTAATATAATCCACGCCTATGGTCTTGATGATGGCTCATTAAATTTCTTTAAAAAAATCCACGCCTATGGCCTTGATAGTGGCTCATTAAATTTCTTTAAAAAATCCACGCCTATGGCTTTGATGGTGGCTCATTAAATTTCTTTAAAGAAACCACGCCTATGGCCTTGATAGTGGCTTATTAAATTTCTTTAAAAAATCCACGCCTATGGTCTCGATGGTGGCTCAATAATTTTCTTTAAAAAAATCCACGCCTATAGCCTTGATGATGGCTCATTAAATTTCTTTAAAAAAATCCACGCCTATAGCCTTGATGATGGCTCATTAAATTTCTTTAAAAAAATCCACGCCTATAGCCTTGATGATGGCTCATTAAATTTCTTTAAAAAAATCCACGCCTATGGCCTTGATGATGGCTCATTAAATTTCTTTAAAAAAATCCACGCCTATAGCCTTGATGATGGCTCATTAAATTTCTTTAAAAAAATCCACGCCTATGGCCTTGATGATGGCTCATTAAATTTCTTTAAAAAAATCCACGCCTATGGCCCGATGATGGCTCATTAAATTTCTTTAAAAAAATCCACGCCTATGGCCTTGATGATGGCTCCTTAAATTTCTTTAAAAAAATCCACGCCTATGGCCTTGATGATGGCTCATTAAATTTGTTTAAAAAAATCCACGCCTATGGCCTTGATGATGGCTCAAAATTTTTTTTCTTTAAAAAATCCACGCCTATAGCCTTGGTGGTGGCTCAACAATTGTTTCTTTAAGAAATTCAGGCCTATGGCCACGGATGGCCATAATGATTTTCATTTATTTCCAATTTTATAATAATTTCCCTTTCATTTTTTCTCTTTCCAGCCAAACGTCCACCGGTAGAAGAAACCGCATCATTCCTGCAAAGTTTACTGGCTTCACATGGACCCAATTATTTGGAAAAGCTCTTTGGCAGTAAGGCTCGTGATGCCCTCTCCCCCTTGGGTGGTGTAGAAAAGGTGGCCATTGCCTTAAGTGAATCGCAAACGATTGAAGATTTCGGTGCAGCATTGCATTTAATGAGGTAAGTTGGCGGAATAAATTGAACGCCGCATGGAACTCAATACAAATTCAAAGGGGTAATGGTAGGCATGAAATATAATTTAATGAAAAATGGATGAGAGTGGGAGGAAATACGCACAAATTGAAATGATATGCTTCGTTAAGAATGTGAAAATATAAATACGTAAATATTCAAGTGTAGGAAATATAAAAACGTAAAGGATATGAATGAGGAAAAATAATGCGTTCCGCAATTGTGAGTTTCCTTTTAATGAAAAAATTTATGGAGGAGGATAAAAAGCTTTCAGATCGTTACAAAAGCGTAAAATAACCATTCTATTCAGGAAGACTATAATGGACTTCATTTATAAATAAAATATACTTCTAGGAAAACAGAATTGAATTATGAAGTCAAAAAATGGTTACGCTTCCTCGACTGAGCGTTTAAATATTCAAATTTTAAATTTGAGAAACATTTGAGACATTTCTTGAAGAAAAAACTTTTTTGCAAGATGATGCCAAATATCTAAAATTAGCAATGACACAATGGGGACCTAAAATAGAAATTTTCTTCGAGCAGATTTTGTTTTAAAATTCTGTTTCAGTTTTCCCACATTAACTAAATATAGGAAATACCTCGGCACACAACACCATCTTTACTTCACCAACAATGTTATCAATATGATTATTCATGGCTTAAGTCTTCGCTAACGATCGCTCACAGGGCGACTCCCCAATACATTGAATAAAAACTACACCTTCTGGTGGCAATCAGAGGAATTATATTTATGAGTTTTTGTTTTCCTCTACTATATTTACCCTACCAACCCATTGGTAGTAACATACATATATGGAGGGAACCGTACACGGAAAATAATATTGAATTAAAAACAAACACTCGTGAAGCGAAATTGCGGATATTATAAATTCAAATTTTAAACTGTTGGAAATTTGAGAAACATTTGATAAATTTCTTGAAGAAAAAATTTTTTGAAGATGATGCCAAATATCTAAAATCAGCAGTACCCAAAATTTACATTTTCTTCGACCAAATTTTGTTTTAAAATTATGTTTCAGTTTTCCCACATTAACTAAATATAGCAACAACCAGCCCACAACTCCATTTTTACTTCACCAACAATGTTATCAATATGGTTATTCATGGCTTGAGTCTTCGCTAACGATCGCTCACAGGGCGACTCCCCAATACATTGAATAAAAGCATACCTTCTGGTGGCAATCAGAGGAATTATATTTATGAGTTTTTGTTTTCCTCTCCTATATTTACCCTACCAACCCATTGGTAGTAACATACATATATGGAGGGAACCGTACACGGAAAATAATATTGAATTAAAAACAAACACTCGTGAAGCGAAATTGCGGATATTGTGGAACTTTTAAAACTCCACACAAACGTAAATAATAAATTCATTCAAAAAAAAAATAATATTTTAACAACTTGCGAACATTTCACTCCTCCTGCGAGCTTGAGATTCTGAATCAATGTGCTTTTATTCCCTTAGATTTTATTTAGCCCTTAATTTTTTTGTAAAACCTATTAAAAAAATAACTAATTAAAATATTAATAAAATTCGAACCGCTTCTACGAACGTAATGTTATTATGATATCATCTTATTATCCCAAAAACCTAAACCTAACCCTATTCCTTTGAAAATTGTATATCAAATTAAAATCATTATTCCTATACCCATCTATTGTTACTAAGTTCTCCTTTCCCAAAATCAGTCCATTCAACTTTTATAATCCTCTCAACGAATCACCATTTATTTTATTTTGTGGAAGTTAATCCTGCGGATTATTTTTCGTCCTTTTCAATCGAGTTTATTCCTCTAATTAATCTGGTATATTTCAAAATATTGTGGTCTATGGCAACTGTTAATTAGCATACCCTTTTTGAGTTTGGAGTGAAGGGAGCTTTTCATAAATGTCAATTTCTAAGAATCAAAAAGCGGAATTAACTTTGATGAACATGATGTCGGAGCTATGGCGATATGAACATGATGGCGAGGTTATAAGGGTTTACATACATATGGCAGTTTTATTGTTGTAAGGGACACACATGCAAATATCCGTACATACAATGCACTATGGGTGCGGATTTATATACACATATATTTCAAAGACGGGGGAGTAATTTAAAATTCTTTTTCGAAGACTATCTAAGGACAGGATTTATTTAAAAATATGTTCAAGGACTATTCGTAGGCGTGGATGTATTTAGAAATAATGTTCAAGGCCCATTAACTGCGAGGATTTATTTAAAACAATTATTCAAGGACCATTAATTGTATGGACATATAAAAAAATAATATTCAAGGACTATTTCTAGGCATGGATTTATTTAAGAATATTTTTCAAGGACATTTCCTAGGCGTGTATTTATTAAAAAATATTTTCAAGGACTATTCCTAGAGGTGGATTTATTTAAACGTATATTAGACGTGGGCTTATTTAAAAAAATCAAGAACTTGGCCTTATTTAAAAAAAACATCAAGTATTTGGGCTTATTTAAAAAAATTAAGAACTTTTCCTAGGAGTGGGTTTATTTTAAAATAATTTTTCATGGATTTTCCCAGGCGTGGATTTATTAAAAACCCTATTTCAATGATTTTCCCAGGCGTGGATTTACTCGTAAACATTTTTCGAGTAAATCCAAAAAACATTTTTCAAGGATTTTCCCAGGCGTGGTTTTATTAAAAAACATTTTTCAAGGATTTTCCCAGGCGTGGTTTTATTAAAAAACATTTTTCAAGGATTTTCCCAGGCGTGGTTTTATTAAAAAACATTTTTCAAGGATTTTCCCAGGCGTGGTTTTATTAAAAAACATTTTTCAAGGATTTTCCCAGGCGTGGTTTTATTAAAAAACATTTTTCAAGGATTTTCCCAGGCGTGGTTTTATTAAAAAACATTTTTCAAGGATTTTCCCAGGCGTGGTTTTATTAAAAAACATTTTTCAAGGATTTTCCCAGGCGTGGTTTTATTAAAAAACATTTTTCAAGGATTTTCCCAGGCGTGGTTTTATTAAAAAACATTTTTCAAGGATTTTCCCAGGCGTGGTTTTATAAAAAAAACATTTTTCAAGGATTTTCCCAGGCGTGGTTTTATAAAAAAAAACATTTTTCAAGGATTTTCCCAGGCGTGGTTTTATTTATAATTACTTTAGCTACACAGCACCATCTTCATTTCACCAACAATCTTATCAACATCATTAGTTTATGGTTTGAGTCTTTGCTACATATCAGACACAGATCGACTTTTATGAATGTGTGGGCGTGTCTACACTAGATTGAGTTAAAACATCACATGTAGTGTAGACATCCTAGTGGCATACTGCAGTATTATTTTTATGAGTGTTTGTTTCATTCCCCACATTTACCCTACTACATATACCATCGATATCGAGACATTAGCAGAAAGAAAGGGACACAGAAAAATCAACTTTCATTTCAAATTATTTTTTCACGGAATTTGTATTTTTCCTACTGTGCAATTGCAGGGTTATGTAAATTGCGGAGAGCCTCAATATTTCAATTAAATTTTATAAATGGTTCACCGCATACATATTTATTTCAATACGTCCGGCAGAGTGGGTTAGTTTCAGGTTGTGTGGTTTTATTCAGAATTATTGTGGCGGAAAAATCATTTTGAATTATTAATTGCATAATTTTAAATTTTTAAATAAAATTTATTTTTGTTTTCTTCTTTTCAGATCCGATTTGGAACATTTACGCTCTGTATTTATGGCCGTGGAAAATGGCGACTTGGGTATGCTGAAATCATTGGGCATCAAAGATTCGGAACTGGGTGATGTGAAGTTCTTTTTGGAGAAATTGGTCAATACAGGTTTCTTAGATTGAGTAGCACCAGATCCGGCTTCTGGATTTTATTATGCACATGCCCAACCCATTAATCCAAGTTTTTATTCATATTTAGGCACACCATATGATAGCTACTATTAAACCCCTCTCCCAATAAATATGGGGGTTCATTGGTGGCTATTGTATGACAGTGGTTAAATATTAATAAAAACAAAATAAAATAACATTACAGCATTACAGAATTTTCATATAAAAAAAATTGAAAAAAATCAACAAAAAAATTGGAATTTTTAGTTTGGAAATTAATTTTTTATTTTCTTATTATTTTTGAAGAAATATTTTTGTTAACAATATTTAATTTTATAATATTTTGTAAAATCCTATTGGTATTTAATTTTTATTTTTAAAATTTCCCTCTTCTTCTTCTCCTTCTGCCGTCATCTGCTGCTTCTTGTCTATCAGCAAATTTTTTTGTTATCTTAAAAAAAACATTTTCAAATTTAATCTTCTTCTTCTCTATACATCTCAAAAATTTCACAATTCTCAATTTTTATTTGAAACTCAAGAACAAAATTACATCTAAATCAAGAACAAACAAAAAATCTCAATTCAAATGTGTAAATTTGAATAAAATGCGGAAGCAGGATCGGCAAGAACAATGAAAAAAACCAAAAAATAATAATTATTTAAAACTAGAATCCCTTAAAAACCAATCCCCTTTTAGTGTGTTATTAATTTTTAAACAACAAAAATATATAGTATATGTATACAAAAAAAAATAAATACACAATATTATTTCAATATTTTTCCTTACAATTTTTGATTTTTCAAAAAAAAAAAATATATATTTAATGTTTCAATACTGCTAAATGGCAAAACACGAAATGGTTTTCTTTAAATGTGTGGTTTTTTCCTTAAAAAAATAAAAAATCAAATTAAATGCTATCAGTACTAAACCTTCCATATATTACTTAAAACAAACGTTAAGAAAATATATATGTAAATGTTTTTTATTTAATTTATTTTTTTTAGAATACAAGTACGAAAAAATACTACAAAAA